ATGTCACGTAACGCCCCGTGAGTTTGGCGCGAGAAGCAGCGCTATACGAAAACTGTATTTTTACTGAGTCAACTGGGTTTTATTTTACGCACTATATGTAGTACATGCCATATATGTGTATATATACACGTAGAGTCTAACCAACCAGCTGGTATTTCACGTCTGACAAACTACATACGTCACTACTAATATCCAGCCAACACGCAAGGAATGCGCGTGGAGTTAACAGTTTTGCGTCATGCACGCGTGTCACTCTCAGGACCGTATACAACGTGGATGCTCGTAACAGACGGTATGGAGAAAGTATGAAGATAATGAGAAAATAAAAAGTAAAAGACGTAAAGAAAAAAAAAAAAAAAGGGAATTCGCAGGAGCAAAGAGTCGGAAGATTTTTCTGTACGAGGAAAGGTATCGGAGGGTAGGGAGACACGCGAATATACATGTATATACGGAAATAGAGAGAGAGAGTGAGAGAGAGGAATTTTTGTAGAAGAGTCGGTGAAAATAGAGACGAAAGAAAAAAACAAACAAAAATGAAAAGGGTCGTCTACTCCTACCCACCATTGTGAAGCGCACGCACGTATGCTTCTAAAGAGCTTGCTAATACGCAGTCAGCATTCTCTCTTATAAAGGAGAGCCTGCAAGGCCGCTCCGGAGCTTCTCTGCATTTTCACGTAATATCTACTGCGATACGTTCTGCACTATGTGGAAATGTAGAAATGCATATACAGTTATATACGTGTGTTCTGAATAGCTGGATATATAGATATACAGTAGAGCCATGCGTAGAGTTGCGTACGAGGTATACTATGTATATGTATTTACAGTGTATAGATATTCCAAAAAATATCTTATTCTTAGAGTCCTACACGCCCCTTACCATTCTCGAAGCCCATATTCAACACGTCAGTCAGTATTATCCTGCCTTTGGTACAGGATAGGGATGCTGTGATATGTCCCTTCGCTCCCAAACAATTTTTCTAGCATCCATGTCTGATCCAACCTCAGCCTACCGGTCATGTTCCCGAAGGTAGTCAATGCAAGAGTGCCAAGAGGATAAGAGCAGCAGAGAAAGATGATACGACGAGGAGAGGGGACGATAAAGGGGATTTAAGGGAGAAAGGAGAATTTTTCTTTCTAACGAAGGACGGCGGCACGATCAAAGGAACGAGCGTGCGAGAGTCCTAACGGCACTTTAGTTTCACTTGGGATCTAGGAAGGAGCCACGTAAGGTCTTGGGCAAAGTGTACAAATTTTATTTTTTTTTTTATAAATTATTTTCAATTACATCGATATTTTTGACAGATTCTTATAGATGTACAATTGCACTTCGTTACGTATTCCGCTCCGAGGCCAGTCACTCTTGTCCATACTCTCTCTCTCTTTCTCCCCCCCTCTCTCTCTCTCTCTCTCTCTCTCTCCTCCATTCTTTTATTATTCATTCCGTCCTAGTCTCCCTTTCCCCGTGCCCGTTTCACTAGGTCGTCCGACTATGCTTTATCTGTACAGAGAGAAGCGTGTTACACTCCACGTCCCTATCCTTTTTAGTTTCCTCTTCCTTAAGTTTTCCTTCGTCTCCCGGCTCCTCTTCCTGTCTCTCTTATCTGTACCACGTGTCCCATCCTCCCGGGTTTCTTTCTTATTCGTTCCCGCTGCCAGTCCGAATCTCCGTCTTCATTTCTCTGACGTTCCTCCTTGTCGTTCTTCTATTCCCTTCTTCTTTTTCCTTCGAGTTCTTTTTTTGACCCCCCCTCACTCCACCACCCTACCAGCCCACCCCACACCCGTCCCGTTCGCTTTTTACTATTTTTTAACATTTTCTTTTCTTCAATGCCTTAAAATGCAAAAATAAACGAGTCCCCGCAGCCCGACCGACAATTGTCCGTTCGCGGGCGTCGCCGATTTTTCTCCAATTTTATTGGAGACACGTAAAAAGAAAACTTCTCTCTGAGACGTCGCGACGCGCGACGTCCCGTCGATTCAGAGATAAATTTTCATTTTTAAAATCACGCAAAAAATACAGGACGCCCGCCAAGTTACGACACGTGGACAATATCAATCCGGTGGGCCCGCGGAGCCATCGTCTCTGGCTGTCTCTCTCTCTCTCCCGACGTCGCCCGTCCTTCTCGCGTCGAGCGACGCCCGCGCAACTATTGTCCACAGCCGATCGGAAAACCCGACGCATCCGCCTGACTAGGAAGTTCGCGAGGATCGTTCGACTTCTTTGAGAAATCTTTAGGGCCTCTTCGGTACTACGGGTGTCCCTGTATAAGGCCCGGGAGAGCGTCGGGACGTCCGTGAGACGCCGCGGCACTTTAGCCGCATGGACAAAACATATCCGAGCTGCCTCTCTCCGTCGCTTTATTCGTCGTGAAACTTTTTACGTTGTGTATATTAAAGGGAACGTACCAACGTCTATTCCGTTAAAGCGGATATCGTCAAATTAAGGGAGCGCCGGACTTTGCATGAAAACGGGACTCTCTCTCTCTCTCTCTCTCTCTCTCTCTCTCTCTCTCACACACACACACACACGCACACTCTATTTTCTTTCTCACTGTACACGCGTACCTGCTGTTACTACGATACTTCACGACTTTACTTATTGTCGGACACGCGCCCGATTCCTCGATCCCGATACCATGAACACTGTCATTTCGTAGCAATGCACTGTACCACGTAGCAATTTGCTTACGGGTCGTCTGTACTTTTTGCATAAAAAGAAAAGAAAGATAGGGATACCTTGACCGGAAGAGGAATCGTTAAAAAAAATTCCAAAATTCGGTAAAAATGATTAAAAATCTATAAAATTTTGCCCACGGGTTCTGATCGTGACTTTAATGAGGAAAATACTGAAAAATACTTCGTATATGGAACTAATTTTCTAGTTTTACAACGAAATCATTAACGTAAGCAGAATATGTCAGTAAGACGTACGACAATAATAAAAATCCAAGCGATATCATCCTATGGCTACGTAAGAGTATACTGTACTCGTATAATATCAGCAACCACACCTTCCTGGCGGACCCGCCGAGTCAGGCCGACGGCACAGACTTATATGATGCCATCCGCTTTAAGCCGCGTTTCCTTCGATTCCGTCGTATCTACGTTTCGCGGTAGGGTAGAATATTAGGCGAAATAGGATTCCTCGTAGGCGTTTATGTCCGCGTGGCACGTGCCGGATAGAGTACGTGTTGCCTAGTAGCCATTTAAATTTTGGACAATAGAAAAGAATGAAAAACCCATTTACAAAAAAAAAATGAAAAGACCGATAAAATTCAATTTGAACGATCGTACGCTCAAAAATTCTTCACGACGTGTACAAGACCACGGAAATTTGTATATGATATTCCGGTTTTTTTGGTATAATCTAGCATATGTCATATTTACATATTTTTGTAAAATAACAAAAAATAATTTTTCCTATTATCACGTGATATTTCCTAAGGCCATAAGTACAGTCGGCGTGCAACCAACGCATTCGTATGTCGTCGACGCTGCATCTCGTCCTGCAATAATACGTCGACATGCGACCCTTCCTGTACATACAACATATATATGTATACGTACTATACGTATTAAAATGCACATGGCCTATATATGTATATATAGATCTTGCCTACCTGTACTAGCATCGCCACTCGACGCCGTTAAACGGTGCAAAAAGTACAAATGCATTTCTTGCTTGCAATGTGTTCCACGTGTGTCCCACCACTATATAACGTCACTCGTTACGTACATTTTTTTTTTTTTTTTTTTTCTTTCACTTACCCCACCACCTCCTACCCACAGAGTGCACCCGTTTACTGAATGCAACTTAAGGTAATGTCACGTTTGCAATGCAACTGCGAAGGTCGCGTGCGGCTTCAATTTTCACCTTTCAAAACATTTACTGTATGGGAGGGCGGGGGTTGTTTTTTTTCTTTTGTTTTTTGAGCTTCTATACCAGTACTCGTACTTGGGGTATTAAGCCTTGAGTGTTTCGAGAATGCTCAACTGGCATAATAATTCACAACACTCTCCTGATCCTCGGATTTTTATTGTACTCTGTACTTTATATATATAATTCATGTAATCAGACTCAACCTATGTTTTCATGGTATTCATAGACCTGGCAGAATTTGCATTTTAATCGTGTCCGGCGAAACATAAATATGCGATTGGTACACTGCGGAAGAAACGTGGAAAGCAGCGTGCGTGCGTGTGGTTATTATAGATACGTGGTCCAGCTGAGGCAGGAGAATGATTTATTGAAAAAAAATTTAACATAGACTGGAAAAATAAAATTATAGAACAATCTTTGATCGAAGTACTCGCCCTGTAAGAGTGACCGAGACAAAGGTAAATATTGAAAAGGCAGGAGGTATAATTGAAAAAAAAAAAATGTATAAAACTTGAAACTACGAAACTATGCACAGGACTTTCCTGATGCTTTTGATAACAGAACTAACGGACTTAGATCAGACGGCGACGGGTATCGGAATTTTAACTTATTTACTCGCATTATAACGCATCAGTTCACATGGCCACCTATCTTATCCGTTTAGAAGCTGCAATTCCTTTTGCGTGAGCATAGAACAGCTATAGCATATATACATCACGCGTTTCTACCGCCTAGAGATAGGATGCGTCTATACGTACTATTTGCCCGTGTACCTACCAGATATACTAATGTATAAGCAGCACCGGATTTGTTGCTGTGTCGATACACAGCGCTGTGCTGTTCATTGCTGCGCTGTTCAGCACACCGTACAGATTGTTAAAACTTGCTGCTGACTCGGCGAAGCGCGCTACACTCTGAACTGGCTCTATAGTAACTGGAGCAACCCGAAGGAAGCCACTGCTCCGCGTTCGATTCGTAGACTCGTTCTTCCATTCTAACTCACCCGCGCCATTTTGTTTCTTACTTTTTTTTTCAAATTTCGATACGACCTTACGGGAAGCTGTTACCCAGCGTTCACTTTTTATTTTTAAATATAAATTCATTCTTATTACACGGTAATGGTTCGTGTCTGGGATAATGGTATATATACGAGATTGATTTGACAGCTGTCACACGATGGGTCAGTTAAGGCTGGCATTACCGTGCCGTGAGAAGTGAGAAAAAGTTTCCTCATTGGTAAGTAGAGCGAGCATATTAATGTATCGTGGCTTATTGATATTTTCGATGCTTGATGGGAGTGCGAGAGAGACGGCGTTATACGCGTTCACGTGGGTATGAGAAGGACAGACGTATACCTCGACGGATATACGTAACCTAAAGGGGGAGATAACCTTCCTGAAATTGACTGTGCTATTGGTGGAATTTCGAAGGTTCGTTACTTTTGTAATTTTCTAAAAGACCTGTATAATTATTTATGAAAATACTCACAAAGCCTTGCTTATCTTTTCTCGCACGTAAATTATTGAACCGTGTCCTTTTGATTTTGAGTTATATCTTCTTAATTACGCAAAATACTTTGGAGATTGATTTATTTTGAAAATTTGACATAATTTCACCAAAAATTCTCAACGAAGTTTATTCGCAAAATTTACACGTAATTATTATAGGTATGGTTCACCGAAGGAGATAGGGCGAATTTCTGTGTGCGTGTACCCATATTGTGTATTTGCGAGACGCTTGGGGCTTTCATTTTGAAGCGGCACGTAGGGTCGTATCGTATTTCGATGGCTTCGATAATTTCACTGGCGCCACGGGTATATCGGCGCGATATCGACTCGGAGCGACTAAGCAAAAAAAGGAATACATAGAAACAGCCAGCGAGGAAGGGCGGGGAGAGCCGTATAACGAAGGGTGGAAAACAAAAGCACGTGCATGGAAACGATAGATTTATTCTCTTAGCCTATGGAGAAAAAATGGAAAAAAAAGAATGATAACCATCCATCCACTGAAATCGTGGCAAACAATTCGAAAATTCAAAATATCACCGATAAGTAGGTATATACGTGTTCCGTGAAATCAGTCACGTGAAAAAAAAAAAAAAACAAAACCTTTATTCAACGTAACGTTCTTCAGAGTCGCAGAAACACGGGATGTCCCATCTTTTTTCTCATCTCTCCCTATTTATTTTACTCTTTCAATTTTCTCTCTCTCTCTCTTCCTTCCCATCTCGTATACGGTTCTCCCATTTCTCCGTCTCTTTACCCCCGTGACATCACGCATTTGTAATTTGCAATTTTCTAATGTACCCGATTGATTCCCCGGGGCCTTAAGGTGTCCTTCTATCTTCCGGCAGACTTCATTTGCCCCCGCAGCTCCGAGTGCGCCTCGTAGGACGAAGGGAGGGTCGGGGGGGTTGATAAAAATGAAAAATAAAAACAGCCACACCCTCTCTACCTACCCTTGCGAAACTGACGTCGCGACGCCGACTTCTGGCTTGTTCACCCTCGAGTAACCCCGGAAACCTGCGGAATATTCAACGTGACGTCGATGTAGCAATTATCAGAAACTCCAGAAAATCGCCTGGGAACGACATTCAGAGAGCGACGCATTTATTACTAATAACGACGGCGTCCCCGATGCCATTAATTTTTTTTCTTTCTCGCCCACGTGCACCCATATCCGGCTTACTTTTGTTTGTCGTTACTTTGACTTTTCACTATACACACTCTGTTTACTTAATTCATACGGGACGCCCGCGACAAGATACCAACGCTGTAAAAATCCACGGCTACGATGGGAGGAGGATACGCGGGGCGTCGCGACGCCAGGAACAAAATTATTTCATTATTTTCCTACGCCTCGCGAACCTCCGTCGGGGATGAAACGCACCCCCTGCCAAGGGGTGCTTACCCTTCGTCCTTGTATTTCAACGCGTTATTCCTACTGTCCTCGTGGAAACGCGAACTAGACGTCGGGTCGTAACGACGCTCACTCGGCGCCGCGCTTACCGGTCGGCAACAGCGACGGCAGCGCCGTCGGTAAATTAGTTCTACGTCACGCTCGTATACTGCATTACTTTATATGCCTTTACTACCTATTATTACGTAATATATATATATGTACATACTTTTCTGTCAAATGCATATTCATCTCAATTCTTCATCTTCTTTTCTTTTTTCTAAATTTCTCGACTTTACGTCGATGGAAAATAATTATCTAAACATGTATATTCGTTAAGGATATTTACAAATAAGCGATTCTGTTTTCGAGTCAGCGAATTAAATTATTCGGTCTAAAAAGAAGGACGCCCGGCGTCCAATGGTTCTGTAGGTGTTGGTCGTTGACGTTAACGTTGCTGGATAATAATGACGTCGAGTAACGAACTACCGAGAATGCAGGAGGAAGAAAAAAAAGCAACAAGTAAATACAGTTAGAGAGAAATAGAGAGAGAGAGAGAGAGAGAGAGAGAGGGGGGGGGGGAAGAAAGGAGGAGAAAGAAAAACAACAGAAGGAAGGAAATACGTAAGAGTACAGGAAGGATACGAGATACGTAAATCACTGTAGTTGAAGAGAGACGGACAGAGCGAAGGGTGGAACCGAGGAGGAAGAAAGTAAGGTTGATAGGACGATATAGAGTGGGAAGTGAGAGGGAAGACGAGAGAGTCGTTAACGTTGCACGAGGACGGGGAAGTTAAGGTTGGCAGCGAACGGTCGTCGGCGACGTTAACGCTGATTTAAAGACGCGTCATTAAAAGTAACGAAGCGAAACGTTCTATTAAGAAGTCGACTCGCTGGGTTTTCACTATCGGCCCGAACCGAGCGAGGATCCTTGGGCAATTGAATTTTTCCAAATTTCCTACTAGCCTATCTTGTCAAGAAAAATGATAAGAATTTCTTCAAACCTCATTCACGTGGAGAGCCTAACAGTGTGTATTCTTTTTTATTCCTTTTCGTCATACTTCAATTTATCGAAGATTCTATATCGTTGTGTGTGCAGTAGTTAGTGACTGTGTCACTGTCGAGTGATAGCGCGATAACGCGCATTGATAACACTGTGGAGAAGTAGATAGGTATGGGAGATATATATATGTATAGTAACGTCATAGAGAGAAAACCCGTCAGCAGCGGCCAGTGAGCTACGTGAAACGTGGCTAATAGAATATTCACGTGGCTTCTAAATAATAGATGCAACCTCAGCGCAGGCCGGCTTGGTTCTTTTGTTAATGTCCCCGTCGTCGCCCTGGGACACTGGGACACCAGGAACACGGAACTCGGCACAGTCGGAAGGAGGGAAAGCCCGGAGTCCCTCTGAATAACTAAGCCATTGTCTCTGGCGAAAGCCTCCGGGTCCCCAATACGATATACATCCTGCCAAATATGACGTCACTGTCGATATGCGGTCGGCTGATTGAACGAGACAGAGAATAAAATACACGAAGCGATGCACGCGTCAGGCACGTATACGTTAAATACCTTGGTGCACTCAAGAGATATCGTTTCCCGTGGACACGGTTTACGTGACGTCATTTTGGTGCACTCGCGCATTACGCACTCGCGCGTACCCAAATATACGAGGCAGTACTGCCAATGTCCTAAATATTTGTATTTACTTGGAGAAGTCAAGAGTAGATACGCATATACATATATCTATATACATATGTCTATGAAAGCTGTGCAAACGTAGAATCCGTTTGCAGGTCGCCCGATAAGTTTACCTCACGTGCACGAGTGTCCCGTATCTACAGGGTTTTGAAAATCAGCTTAGGATTTAAAAAATTTTGAAATTATCCAATAAAAAACATTTCGTATACCCAAATCTGAGGAATGGTCCATGTAATAATTTTGGTTGAAAAAAGTATAATAAATTATATACACGGATATATTTGTTTAATAAATTTGAAAAATTTCATAAAATTTTTTTTGCAAAAGCGTGCCGTAATCTTTTAAAAAATTGTTATTTAAGGGCTTAGGGTTTCCGTGTAAATAGAAATTAACAGAGAAGCATCTAGTCGGACAGCCACCTACAGTCAGACACTCTACGTACATTGGTATTACGTCTTTTCAGCATCCAAAGTCGTATCTCTCTCGGCAGAGCTTTTCTATTTATCTCGGAGCGGTCCGCGCGAGGGAGTATAACGTACGACTGAAAGTTTTTCATGGTGGAAGTTAAGGAACGAAGAAAATAAAGTAATAAAAAAATAATTTCTTCCCGTCACCCGCACACATCAGTAGCAAGAGAAAGCAAAGCAGATAAAAGAACATAGACGGGAATTGAGTCGCCATGTCGTAGCATTGTATTTTTAACCGGTTCGAAACGTCGACTCGTTCCCATAGGAAATGTCAGACTGGCTTTGAAAACGATTATGAGACGCCATTGCTCGTTATCCGTAAAGTTTTTTTCGAACGAGTCTGATTTTTAAATTTTGTCTGGACTCACACGTGATACGTTACTGAATATATACCGGGTAACGATTTTATAGACGGTTTGCATATTCTACATATTATATACACATATGTATTTGCTATGGCGCTATATTTATTTGGAAACAGTGATACTGCTACAAAAATAAATTTTTTTTCTTTCGAAATTTCAAAAAAATTTACAAATATGACCAAGTCTTTGTTAAAGGGGTCGCAGGTACTTTAGGACGAATTTTCATGAAGAACCGCGGATCGTGCATACCAAGGAAATTCACTTGGTCAATTCCGTCCACTTAACGGGGCCAATTGCGTCATTCAAAGTACTTTTAATAAGTGCGTTACTCAGAAGCATTAAGCCAACTGACAGCGCGACGCCCGTATCGCGACGATAAAAACAAAAAGACTTGGATGAGGGTCTTACTTGACCCACTGGCTCAAAGAGTTAAAAGGGTTAACGTTTCGTTAATCCAGGCTTCTGGGAATGGAGTCGCATTTTCGTCGCCATTGTCATACGATTCGTGAACAAAGTTCAATAGAAATATCCGTTATGGGAGAGACAAAAAAAGTAAATACTATATTTACCTAAAATATAAAATTTCTTAAAATCAAAATATTCCTCACGTACGCTTAAGGAATAATGATGATAATAATCGTCAATGAATCCAGCACAGTTTTCATGACCACGTATAACGGTACAGGTAGTTTCATAAGTGCCGGTAAAAAGTTGAAGAAAGTAGTCGACTCAAGGGTTGAAATAGTTTGTCGTTTTGAAAGTGAATGAAAGAGGGTGACCAAGTCAAACGTTTACGAAGCTC